TTTCGCGAAATTTGTTGCACTTTCTCACGCATAAAACTTCATTGCTTCACCTACGCAGCCGCTATAGCGCTCACTCTCGACGACACAGATAGCGGTTGCTAGGAGACTATAGAAACTTCAGCGATTCCAAGCAAAATATTTTGAGATTCTACTAAATGATTTATAAGGCATTTCACTAAGACCTTTGTATGAAATTATAATTAGTGGAAACTATCAGTCATTTCTAGTGTTTCTGGATAAGAATAAAAACTCGTATGAAGGCAGATTTATCGCTTAAAATCGAAAATCCCCCCCTCTCCCCAATAGGCTTAGTCTTGATGAGTTCTAGATACGACTAAATCAGTCCGAAAATCTATCGACCGTAAATAACACCACTAGTTAAATATCTCATGAAAAAGAGGGGGCGTGCTGCAGCCGCAAACAATACGGACAGAGTAAAGAAATTTTCTCGGGGTATTGATGAGATCATAGCAGATAATCGGAAACAGTGGGGCAAGATTGGGGGACTCTAGGCAGTCAACATTGGTGGACGAAGGTGGACAACATCTCACAGCGGAAAGCTAAGCCTCAGCTCACGATGGRCAGGGACTTCTTGGAAGGCTTGAATGATTACTTTGGAGATTTGTGTTATGACTACACCGAGCCTATACGCCGCTTTTGTTTGATAACAGTACTTTCACCCCTCCGAGGCTCGAAGAGCTGGATTTGCTAATCACGCTTCCGAAGATCGAAAAAACTGCCTCCGGACCAGGTCGCGGTAAATGGAAAGATTATCCAAATATACTTTAGAAATAGCATATTTCGTCGTTGCTGGTGGAGAATATTTCCTTTTCACAAGAGATTATAGAAAATACTTGACAAACAATGCATTGCGTGCAGAAATTTCAAATCACCTGTGCCCTATCTGATATTTAGAGAGGTCTTTACCGTTTCTAACTATGCCAGTTTTTTTCTATACGAGGAAGAGAGTCAGTGATAGACAGTTTTTGGTCCTAATAAAAGGCTTGTAAAATCGCAAAATTAAAGGGTCGTCGTACCGACTGTTTTTTGTTCCTTGAGCTTAAAAACAATTTTTTTTCATAAATACCAAAATGTTCCATTTGAGAAATTTTGAGAAATTTCGAATTTATTTCAATGTGCAGGCTATATGCAATAGTTACAAGCTCCACATCAGGCCATTTCCAAGAACAGATCGAACAGAAAACAATGAAGTGCGATCGCTTCTTTTGAAACTTGAAAGTCATTTTCATACGCAAGAAAAAAAAAGAATTTTAGTTGTCTTGACAATCTGGGACGACGTCAGTCGGTATATCGGAAAAAACAGACCTTCCAGACTCCCTTTAACTGTCCTCATTTCCTTAACTTAAACAAAATTGAATTAATCTCCAAGAAATAGTGAT